TTCTTTTTGAGAGCATATGTCAATAGTTTTTTGATAGGACAGGGGCAAGTGGTTCAACTTGTGGGAGAAGAGGGGTGGGGAAGGGGGAACCACAAGTTCGAACCTTGCCACCGAGTGAGGAAGCTTTTTACAATTAGATAAATGATCAGTGGATCTGAAGGCTTTCCTCAGCATATCTCAATAGTTAGAAACTTAAATCTCTATGTAAAAAATTTTTTAATTCAAATTTTGAAATGGATAAAGGGAAGTTTGGGAAAGGAAGAGTTATTATTTAATGTACAATCATCATCCAATAAAAAAGAAAAGCAGTTGGAATCTTCATATTCCAGCTTAAATAACATAACAAGTGCCTGACATATTGGGAACAATAATTTTAGAGATTTGTCTTGATCCAAAAAGATGGTAACACAAGAGGAGATGAATTGAGTTTTTGAAAAATTTATATAATTTTCTAATCAACTTAATGAACACGTAAATGTAAGCTGTGCAACTAAATTAAAAGAGTAAGAGAAGAGAAAAGTTAAACACGATGATTTATAATGATTTATAATGATTCATTCATAATTTGTGCTTGAATTATTTCTTAAACTTCTTACTTAAGAGTAAGTTTGAATTCAAATGTTCTTATTCAATTTGCAAGTGTAGAGACAATCACTTACAATAATTTTGTTGATGTCATTCATCTTAACAACTTATTCCTTTATTATAATTTCTCACAAATTCAATTCTCACAACTATGAAAGGAATCTAGATTTAATAAGTATATTCTCCCAAACACTTCTCATTTTTTAAAGAGTAATAAATACGCATCTGATTTTTTAGATCAACTAATATTCTGTTAACTTAAGGTGCATTTCATCTCTTTCTATACGGGTTTCGACCCCGCCCTTGATAACTTGCTCAACAAAAAAAAAAAGAGTAACAAATACGGTTAAGCAAGTAATAAAAATTAAGCTCAAAGAACGAGGATTGATAATTGAATCTTTTTCAAACGTAAGCACCACTAAGATTCTTTCTGTGCTACTGTTGCTTTTTCAAAGTTCCTTTTATATTTTTCACAAAGTTAAACTAGTCATTGTAGTTGAAAAAGTCAAATTAATCATTGTAGCTCAAAATGAAAAGTCCTTGATTTTATTTTATGTTAGGATTCTACTGAAGGTTTTAGAACTTGTTCATTTGTTCTGGAACTTCTTGATGTCCCTACATGTGTCATAGAGTAACAATGTTCTGAAGCAATGTATGCTGGAACTTTTTGGCAAGTTTAAATGGTTGATTTAAACACAATCTTTATATAAGAAAACTACTCATAAATATAAAACTTTAAATCTTGTAGAGTTTGAAATTCTCCTTGGTGTGATCTTCAAAAATAGAAAACTAATCTTTGGCAAACTAAATATGATAAAAATGAGATTAAATAGCTCCGAGAAAGGAAAGTGCAAATCATCTCATGAATTAATTTTCAAGTATGAATGTAAACACTTCACATTTAAATTGACAAATGTTGATTTAAAAAGAAAAATGATTTAAGGATAATTTTTTATATTATTTTTTTTTATAAAATTTTATGAATCATTTAAATAATTAATTCTTTTTATTCATTTGAAACTCATGATATTGAATATAGTTACTTATTTAATAATTTAATAGTACATAAAAGTTATATAAAAAAATTGTATAAAAAAATTATACAAAAAAATTGTACTTATATCACTACTCTTTTAAAAACTTGTTTTTCAAATCTTCTAATTTACATGCAATTTTGATAATCATAAAAACCCTTCTTAAACCTCTAAACTTACCCCAAAATAATATTTAAACCCTTAAACTAAAAATAAAGCAAGTAAGCTGATGCACCAAATACGCACTACTTTTAGGCAAGTGAACCTAATCAATTATGCAGTATAAGATGAGTAAGATATCGTTACTATCCTACAGTACCAAGACACTATTAATCTAACCTAAGTTGAATTAACCAATTAATAGGGAGAACTAAACTATTTAAAAGAAAACTAAGTAAACTAAAGAAAATTAAACTAAAGAATTTTCTAAATTAAAGAAACTATGAATGAGAAAGAACTAGGGTTTGGATTTCATTTAATTCTGAATTATGCAACTGTTTCATTAATTTAATTTAAGTTCAAATAATAGTGTTATTGCATGAGATGGCGGATTTCCCTAAATTAATTAACCAGCTTTCTCAAGTCAAGCTAATCCTTCATTTGTTTGCTAAATTAATCATATCTCTATGTAATTTTAAACAAACTAATGAGCATTAAATTCTATGGAAACCTCTAGCTTAAGAAGGGAGAGCTACTAACTCTCTTCTCTTCCTCCACTACCACATGTGAGCTAATTACCTCTCGGTCTCATAGTCTAGCACGCTGTTTATATTATTATTGGTCTAATCTACGCAATTCTTTCTCAAGTTCATGCATAAATCACCAAATCAATTGAAAGGTGATCAAGCTCTCAATGCATTAAGTTCAATAATATAAACTCATCATGCAAATAACCAATAAATCTTGAATTAAACTAACAAAAACAGTCACATACTTCAAAAATTAAAATCTATCCATCCCTAGTTCAAAGGAATCTAGCCACACATGTTTATGTTCTCAACAGCCATGAAAAATAATAAATCCCAACAGAAAATCATAGTAAAAAGTTCAGAAACAACAAAACCCAAACTATGAAGAATTGCAATTGGCCGAATGGTGTTCTGTGGTCGGGAAGCAAGGCTGGGCGGTAGCGTGGTTCTTCTGCAATCGGATTTGGGTCTTGCGTTCTCAACTCGCAGAGTAGATTTGTGCGGTTCTGTGTCTTCTTCTTTCTGCTGGTGAACAACAGATGCGGATGGCAAGAAGGCTGGGCGGCTGGGCGGCTTCTCCTCTCGCGTCTCTCTGTGTGGCTGTCCTCTTCTGCTGCTGGTAATAAACAGATGTGGGTTGCTGGGATGTGGGCGGCTGGGTGTTCTTTTCCTCTTGTACAGAACCCTCTCCTGCGTCTGTGTGTCTCCCTCTTCTGTTCTGCCGACTCCATTTTATATCTCTCTCCAGAAATTAAAACCCTTCAACCCTAGCAGACATGGGAATTGGGCTTTGGTTTGGGCCTGAACTGCAGTTGGCCCACTCAATAAAGAAACATAGCCCGTCTCTTTATTTCTGCACTGTCTATAGTCAAAACCGTCACTTTCAACCAAAAATCTGTATTGATACAGCTAGAACTGGGTTAAGCTCATAAAACATCAATTGTAGCTCTGCCTCTTAGCTTTCCAACGCCTAAAGAATCA